ATGTCCCACTTTCTATGAATATTTGATATCACTTTGCTTTTTAAGAAGAGCAGAGATGACGCATTCTACCCTGGCATCCCTAGCCTGTAAACAGCAAGAATAATTTAAAATACTAGTTTTTAAGCAGAAAAAAATCAATGTACAGTGGGTTTCTTTCATAAAACCAGTTCCAGTATATTCTAAACAAGGTACGTTATCTTAGTTTCTTGCTATTGCTTTCTCTAAAATGGTTTCCGACTTTGATGTTATTAATTGGAGCATGCTGAACTTTTGTGCATAGTTTTAGTGGTATTCTGGAGAAAGAACTAAAAAATTATTACTGTTGGTTTTAAATTTTAAGATGATGGAATTTTTGATATGGAAAGTGGGGCTGCTGCACCTGCCGGCTCTTTGTGTGCAGAGATTACAATATACACACAGTGGATTTGAGAACTGTAGCCCTCGTATTTCTTTGCACTCCTAGAAGCATTTTTTCAATACTTAAAGGCTCTTCTCCTGACTTCCCTTTTCTGAGTACTCAGTAAAACCGAGAGAACTGTGGAACTGACCCGGACTCCTCCATAAGTGACCCAGGATGCGTCAGAGCATCAGTTGGTTTGGCTGATGCTGTTTTCAGTCTCAATGTTCTGGAAACATTTAAATTTAAGGATTGACGTGTCCCTCATTCCTATCGCTTAGCCAGTGCTTTTGGACGGAGCTGGTACTATGTCAAAGGGCACCAGCTGTGAAGAACAGAAGCCTGGGCTCAGGCCCCTGTCCAGTCACTGGCTGGCGGTGTGACCCTGGAGGAAAACCCGGCCTCAGCAGCCTCAGGTTCCACATCTGGGGAAGGACAAGTGACATTTGATTTGTGTCTTTCACAGAGATTGTTGTGGGCATCTTGATTGAGAAGATGCTAACAGAAGAATTACTAGGAGGCCTTAAAGTTCAATCACCATGTGGGGCATTTAGAAAGAAGGAAACATTCTCTTGTTCATAGCTTTTTTATAGTTTTAATTTTCTTCCACCCACTTTCTAATCGCTGCTTTTACATGCGTATCATAACCCAGAGTGGGCCAAACCCCTGCACTGGGCATTGTAACCCAGTGTCTAGGAAGCAACCATCCCAATTTATGGTTGGTGTTTGAAGGAAAACCTTTAGTCTTTTTTTTTTTTTAGTTGGTGGGGAGGTAGGATTTGACTTTGACTTTGAACATTTCCTTCAGGGACAAGTCCAAATTGGTGCTCTAATGCTGTGAAGATGAGGACTATGTGGCTCTGGAAAGGTGGTGCTAAGAGTAAAATTACTAACAATAATGGGAAAAAAGTACTTTCCTTAATAATAGTAAACAACACTTTTGAACTTTACCATGTGCTACTATTCCCCTGAGACTTCATCAGGTGGGAATTATCCCTGTTTACAGGTGAAGAAACTGAGGCTTATAGATGTTAAGCAGCTTGCCCAGAGTCACCGAGCAGGTGGCGGAGCAGTGATATGGCCCAGGCAGTCTGCACTGAGAGCTTGTTCTCCTAACTCCTCTGCCAGCCTCTGTTAACACGAGGGAACGAC